AATTCGTCTAAATTAATTTTAATGACTAAGTATCTTTGAATATTTACGATTTTGATATATACTCCTATGTTAAAAATTTACTGTTAAATATATTCACGCGATTTGTTCCGTTGGATTTTTCTTACATATTATTATTATAACCATTGAATTCTCTCGCTAATTTATTTTTGCATTTCATTAGGAATTGAAATAAATTTTCTTTCTTTTATAATTTGTTATATTTTCGTGCAAAGTCGCACAACGGACATGCGGGTATACATATATATATATATATATATACTACTACTACTACTACTGAAATCTATCTTCACGCATATCTGCACCGTTAATGAAAGCGTGTGTTGTCATTGGTGAAAAATGTTTTTGACGCGCTGGCAGTTAAAATACTATATATAAATAACAAAAGTTGAATACACTTCGCTTTTATGTTTTCATCCTTTATTTTGTTAAACAAATGCTTTATTATACATAGAGATGAATCTCCATTTCATTATATTGACACAAAAACACATATTTTTCACTTTTGTTTTAACGGAAAAATAAACATTCTATTTTCAATATTATTTAAAAAAATAAAAGATTTATCGATATTACGTACGACTAATACATAATTAGGGAAGAACGAGGGGGAAGAATTAAAATAAATGAAAGGAATAAAAAAAATTTTAGGTTATATTTTATAGTAATAACCTATAAAATTTGTTTGAAACCAAGGTTCTTTTCACCGAAAAGCGTATTATAAAAAAATATTACATATTTCAAAACGTATATATAAATTACTGTGGAATGACTTTTGATGAATGCACCCCCTTCCTTTATATATATGCAACGGGAGCTGCGGTGCTTCTTAACGGATGATGACTTCCATATAGTGCTGCAGGTGCGCTCAAGAAGAGGACCCAATGTGGGACCCCTAGTGATGAAACTTGTAACACACAATTTTTTACATTACACAAATATATATACTATATATATATTTGTGTATATATATAAAATGTGTAATGTTTGCGATGTAAAGAAAGGCGGCTCTTTTTTAAAATAAATAATATAGTCATTGACGGAGGTCTGCAAAAAGAGGATTTTTTCTCCGCTTACGACAATTCAGTAAAATATATATATATATATATATATATATATAAGTTTAAATTTATATCTATTTACCATTATATATACGACATTTCAACCTTGACGCCTATGTCGCCATATCTTTCAAACGCGGTAATTCAAATCCATCCTCTGACATAATATAGATATGCGAAAATGTTGGACCGAAAAAATTTCGTTAGAATATTGTGAAATGAACTTTTTCTTTTTTTTTTTACGATTCGTTTGAACAATCCGACAGGAAATTATTTAATGGCCTCTCTCCTTTTTGGCAAATAAATATAATTTCGTCATATTTTCTGCGGCCTTGACGTTCTTTAAATATATTTCAATTCAAATAAAGCAAAAAGTGAGTCACTATACTTTAAAATTAGTTAAAATTTTTTACTAACTTTTAGCGATTTGATACTTTTTTTTTTTTTTTTACTAAAAGAAAAAAATATAAAAATGAAGTTTGAAACTAACCTCAAAAACATAACCTCCAAAATTTACTTTTGCAACTTGTCTATTAGGATCCCATCTGTTATATATATTTTATATACAATGTTCGTATATTATTTTGTGTATATATGTATAATACGAGAAACGTGGGAGAAAATAACTGAATTGAAAAAAAGTTCTTTTTTTAAATGACATTGCGGTTATATACAAAAGTGCGCGCGTCCTTTTTTTGAATGGCATTTCTAAGAAATTGAATGGATTTTACAGATGCGCAGCATTTGTTAAAGTTAATGCTTCAAGTCTTTTCTTACACACACATATATATATAAGACGCGGGGTAAAAAAAAAATATAAAAACGATTCCTGGGAGTGGTTACTTGGAAGTAGGTCGACTATAAGCGAACCGAGTGTATTTTGTTCGATCGGACGACGGCGGACCCGCGCCGCTGGAGTAAAGGCCGATAAGAATAATAATAATTATTCATCAATTCTCTCGAAATATTTTACGCGAAAAAAAAATCTCAAAAAAAGAAATCCAATACTAATAATAGAATAAATTATATTTAAAAAAACAAAAAATACGCAAAATTGGGAAAAATTATTAAAACCGTTTTTTTTTTTTAAAGTTAAAATGAAATTGCTATTTTAATTAACCACAGCGCGCGCGTTTATTATTCGAATAAGGTCATGCATAAAAGTCATTATACTTGAAGGTATTCGTGGAAAGTGTATATGTTTGAATTATACAAATTATATGCGATTTGCAGTCAATGTCAAATGCGATTATAAACCCTAAAAATAAACGCTCATAACGCTATTTACCTTCGCTTATACAATTATATATATATATATGCATATTCTTTTTTGTATATGTATATTAATTTTATGCAAAACGGCATATATCGATAGAAACTTATTATATATTTACAGTGTCAAGCAACGGACGACGCGCGCTTCATATCGGCATTGACCTGAATTTTTCTCAATCACCGACTAGACTACAGATTTTTTTTTTTTTTTTTTTCTGATTATCATATTCACACAATTTTTTTTTCTAAAATTAATAGTATATTATTTAATCAAGATGTATTAATATAATATGCAGATTGAAGTTATTTTTGAAAGGGAATATTGTTGTTTTTCCATTGTTGTGTCGCGTTTGTGTTCTTTTCATTGTCATCCGATCGATAGACCCCTCATTTCCGGATGTATATATATATGTGATCCCGCATCCGGTGCTTACTTTTTCGTACCTGCTTCCCAGAAGTGCCTTTATATATATATATGTATTACGTAAAAAAAAGAGAAGAAATTTTTTTTGGTAAATAATTTTGAAATTTGGAAAAAAAAATCAGAAATTTAAATATATAGGATTTAATTAACAGCATTCCTATGTGAAATCTCTTCAATGGAAAATTATTATAATTGAAAACCAGATCAAGGGAAATATATCGTAGAATTTAAATAATTTTTTGTATTAGTAGTAGTAAAAAGGGAAATAAAATGCAACTTGAATGACTCGAAATAGGGATACTGCGGGTTTCGTTAAAGTCACTGAACGGTTATACCTTCTTCATTTGTTGCCTGACTTGTTTCTCCGAGCATTTGAATCTCTTCGAGGAAGGTTATTTTTTTCGATTTTTATTCTCCGTCTCACTCCTTTCTATTGCATTCTTGATTCTTTCGAGTTTATTTTCCTCTTGCAAATATATATATATATATATATATATATATATATATATATAATACCGCCCTCACCGCAACTCAGGGTCGTAATCGATCAGCAAACTTAACCAAAAAAAAAATTAACCAATGATTTCTCAAATTATAACAGAAACCCAATTTTATTATTCCAAAAGAAATTCGCTGTTTAATTTAATTTTCGAATCTGATTCTTTTTTTATGATTACGATTTAGTTTTCTTAAACTACAATTTTTGACGCCGAACAACCATTTTGAGGTTATGAGTCTAATTTTGAATTTAAAAATTAAAATATTATTTTAACTTACAATCGATTTTTTTCCAACAATTATTATCTTATAAGAGAGAAAACCTTGTCTGTATTTAACCAATAACCTTGTTTTAAATCTGAAAAATGAAACGCTGCAGTTTTTGTGAGATGAAGAATACGGTCCTGTGTGTCCAAGTACCGGTTCCCCGTTTCACTGTTCATTTTCCTTATCCTTCTTTCTTGCCGAGGGCAACACACCTCTTTGTTTTCTCTCCTTTTCTTACACACACACACACACACACACACACACACACACACACACACACACACACACACACACACTTGGTATACCGGTCACGAGGCGAGTTTTGTATTTATAGCAAGAACACACAGGCACTTTAAAGAATTTAGTTAGCCTCTCCATATATATATATATACGAGATGACCAAAGGTTGCTTAACGAACCCGCAACGCCATTTTGGATCATCTTCAACATATGACGTATATATCCATGACGCAATCGTTTTCTGCCATACATTCATCTTTCTCTAGAATTTTAAAAAATTGTTCTAAAACAAAACTTTTATGTAGAACAAATATTAATTTTGTAAAAAAATATATTTGTGCTTTCTTTAGTTGGCGAAACTAAAAGCCTACTGGTTATATGACAAAACAAAAAAAGTACGTCCTCGATGAGCGTTTCCTAGTTTCCGCTTCAGCAACGACGTTGGGCGGTGTCCTCGTGCTCTATTCTTATATATATTGTCCTAAGTCAAAGTCAAGAGAACGTTAACTCGCATAAAGACCGTTAATTTAAAATGTTCCACAAAATATTATTTTTTCCAAAAAAAAATTTTTTGAATTTAAAAAATTTGACATCTAACTGTATTTATGCTTTTGAATTATATAAAAAAGCAAATGTAAAAAATATTTTTCGAATTACTCGCGTCATCATAAAGAATCTTCTTGGAAAAAATCCGCTAAAGAATATGAATCATTCACCGCATATATCTAGAAGAAGTAAAAGAAAAACCTTGTTCGCGTTTTCAATTATAAATTCTTGGTGTTTTTTTTTTCTTTTTGAAAAAGAAAATGATAAACTTTTGTTAATAACACAAGAATTTTGAATAATTTTTTAAATACCACGTCTTTTTGAAATATAAAAATTTATCGAAATCAAAATTTACACTTTATATGGCAATGTAGAAACCTAACCTTCAATTCAATGTCAAGCGAAACTTGATTTGAATATATAAACTCTCTCGAGGAGCAACGATCCGTAGAGTTTCAAATTCCAAGTCTCGTAACCCTTTTTTTGGTAATAGGAGACAGTAGGAGCCGAAGCGATAAATGACGTCAAGATCTTCTATCCCAAAACGACCTCGAAATTTACATTAGACCTTGTAAATAACTAACGGTTTTATTAAAATGTTTTTAAAAATATTTTTTAAAATATTTTTTTTAATGCAATTTTTAAAACGAATCTTCTTTTTTCTTTTGCAGATCGAGACAAAATCGAAGATGACAGAGCAACGACACCAGAATCATTGCGCAGTAGCAGTCCAGCGTCATCGCCACCGCCTTCGATTCAATGGCAAGGAACGCCGTCATCAAACACAAGTCACGGGGCACCAAGGAGATTTATTTCAAGTATCCTAGGTGGTGATGTACCCTATGGTAGTAGAGGTCACGTTCTAACGAGAGCCGAACGTAAAGAATACAGCAGTCCACCAATTGCTCCATCATCGGAGCCAAAATTTCTCACCAAGACCGATAAAATTGAATTACCGAGGCCATTGACACCACCCAAGGCTAAACTTGAACCACCCACGAGAGTATCTGTAATTCAAAGGGTGCCGCCCCAGGCACAAAATCCAAGACGCGAGGAAACAAAAATCGAAGTCCCTTGCACACAGGAACCCGAACAGGTATATATAACTTATAAATTTTCATAAACCAGGTGGAAAAGTTCCCGGTAGTGACTACCGGTAGTCATTACCGCTCCCGCTACCGGAATATTCACTACCGGTAGTCACGATCGGTAATTTTTCCTAAATTAACGGTTGCCACTACCGGTAATTTTTCCGGGACTACCGGTAGTCACTACCGGTAATTTTTTTGTTACTACCTATCGGTAATTTTTCCGGGACTACCGGTAGTCATTACCGGTAATTTTTCCGGGAATTACAATCAAAATTTATTACCAAATAACAAATTTTAATTGTAACTTCCGGAAAAATTACCGGTAATGACTAACGGTAGTGGCTACCGGTAGTCCCGGAAAAATTACCGGTATTGCCTACCAGTAGTAACGAAAAAATTACCAGTAGTGACTACCGGTAGTACCGGAAAAATTACCGGTAGTGACTGCCGGTAGTAACGAAAAAATTACCGGTAGTGACTACCGGTAGTCCCGGAAAAATTTCCGGTAGCAACGAAAAAATTACCGGTAGTGACTACCAGTAGTACCGGAAGAATTACCGGTAGTGACTACCGCTAGTCCCGTAAAAATCACCGGTAGTGCCTACCGGTAGTAACGAAAAGATTACCGGTAGTGACTACCGGTAGTACCGGAAAAATTACCGGTAGTGACTACCGCTAGTCCCGGAAAAATCACCGGTAGTGCCTACCGGTAGTAACGAAAAAATTACCGGTAGTGACTACCGGTAGTCCCGGAAAAATTACCGGTAATGCCTACCGGTAGTAACGAAAAAATTACCGGTAGTGCCTACCGGGAGTAACGGAAAAATTACCGGTAGTGACTACCGGTAGTACCGGAAAAATTACCGGTTGTAACGAAAAAATTACCGGTAGTAACGAAAAAATTACCGGTAGTACCGGAAAAATTACCGGTAGTGACTACCGGTAGTCCCGGAAAAATCATCGGTAGTGCCTACCGGTAATCCCGGAAAAATTACCGGTAGTGGCTACCGGTAGTCTAGGAAAAATTACCGGTAGTGAATATTCTGGTAGTGATAGCGGTAATGATTACCTGGGAATTATAACTAAATTGAGAATTTAATTAATTTTGATTTACACTAAATAGAGAAAATTAATTCCAGGATCAACCGATCGACTATGCAGTACCTAAGCGAAAAGAAGACGAGGAGAAGGGTCGTGAGGGAGCAAAGAACTCGAGGACAATGGGTAATTCAATAGCGAGGCCCCTCTTGGCTATGAGATTATCAGGACCGCAAGCAATTCATGCGGCAGCTGGTCATGGTAGAACATCAAATTCAGGAAGTAATAACAGTGGTAGCGGTGGTTCATCGAGTGGTAATTCATCAAATGGAGGAAATTCCGGAAGTTCTGGAGGTGCATATAGTTCCGGTGGTGGTGGAGGAGGAAGTAGCGGTGGAGGCGGTGCAATTGGCGGTGGTGCAGGTGGTGGTGGTGGTATGAATCCCGGTGGTAATGGTGGTCGTGGTAATTATGGACCAAGTTCACCGCCAACTGGTTCACTACCACCATTTTATGAATCGCTAAAAGGTGGCAATAATTTAGCAAATTTTGCCAATCAATATAATGGAAATGGTTATCTCACTGCATCGCCAGCCGTTGGTATGGATTGTGATACAGGACAGCATGATGTTAATTCACAACATTCATTTGGTGCACAAGAAGGTAAACAGTATTCACTATTGCAAAATGTATGCGCATCTTATGGAATTACACTCAAGGAGGAGGAGGATTTAGCCGCTTATAAAATACAACCAAATGATTTATTATCGGGACAATATGGACCATATGATATGACAGATTCGGGTATGATTGTTGATATGGTGACGGGTTCAGTTGTTGATCCAATGCAATTTACAGCGACATTTACATTTAATTCGCCGCCCGATCATAATGCATTTTTGGAGAGTTTAAACGATGCGGAAGATTTATTTTTGCCAAAACTTCCCGCTGAGGAGGGTGGTAATGATCTTCTTGAAGAGACTTTACATTCGCCAGCGTCGGCTGGCAGTGGTATGGGTCAGGATGGACAAATGACGAGTCCCGTTGAGCCGAGTGTTGATCCATTTCCCGAACATAGTATATCACTAACGAGGGGTTTTGATAATACTAGAAATTACACGGTACCACAGCATATGTCACCGAAAATCTCAGGAATCAATTATCCTAGCGGTGAATCGAGCTATCAACCTCTTCCCAAGGAACGCGCGGAATTGGCACTTCATATTAACCAAAATCAACAGGAGCCACAGCTTCAGCAATTGCAAATACAAGTACAATTGCAGCAACAACATCAGCAGCAGAATTCACCTCATCAGCATCATCAGGGTTTGCTTAGCCCAAGTTTAAGCTTCACTGGAAGTGGTGAGTTGGAAAATATTGAACAAATTTTGAATAGAAAACTAAATTTTATTGTTTTTCAGGTCTTGAACTTGATTCCGGTAGTAGTGCAGGTGGTAGTTTGCCAAGTCCAGGTGCAGCTTCATGTTCGCTGGACGCAGCATCGACTAGCACATCGCCTTCCTGTGCATTAATGGAACACGCGCCAAGTCCCTCAAGTGTATCGGCAACAGTGAGTGTACCTACGGATCCCATTGGGGAGCCTCCTCTTACGCAAAGGGTTGGTGTATTACATCAGATAAGCAACGAATTGATCTAGGCTAATTCTGTGCTTCATCTTGTCATGCACTTTAAATTCCAAAATTTTCTCTATACTTATATATGTTTTTCTTACAGTTGGGTCTTCCCGGTGATGTTCCCATTGAATTTGTGAATGGCGGTCATGGAATTAAGAATCCTTTGGCAATTGATGGACAACGACAGACGACAACAATTCGCGATGAAGAAAGAGCAGTTCGACCACCACCTGGTAAAGACGACGATCCAAGTAGATTCTCATGTCGAGTGTGCAGCAAACATTTCAGTCTACAGAGACTATTGAATCGTCACATGAAATGTCACAGTGATGTGAAACGATACCTATGCACATTCTGCGGAAAGGGATTCAATGATACATTCGATCTTAAGAGGCACACGAGAACGCACACTGGAGTCAGGCCCTATAAATGTAATCTCTGCGAGAAGAGCTTCACGCAAAGATGTTCACTCGAGAGTCACTGTCTCAAGGTTCATGGGGTTCAGCATCAGTACGCCTACAAGGAACGACGCACAAAGGTAGGATTTTCTAATGACTTTTTTTTTCTTTTGGAATCAAATAAATTTTAAATTACGATTTAGTTTTCTAATTTAATCTTCTTTCTTCTTCTTCTTCTTCTTCTTCTTCTTCTTTAGTTCTTCGCCATTCTGAAAACAAAAAAATTGTAATTCCAAAATTCTTGCAGGTTTACGTATGCGAGGAGTGCGGTCACACAACCCAAGAGCCAGAGGTTCACTATCTTCATCTGAAAGAGAAACATCCTTATAGTCCAGCACTGCTCAAGTTCTACGACAAGAGGCATTTCAAATTCACGAACAGCAATTTCGCCAACATGTTGCTACAGGTGCGCACGTAAAAAATAAAAACAGACTGACAAAAAAAAACTGAGTGACTTAGCGAATCAAGTTTCTCGTTTTTTTCAACTAAAAAAAAACGGAGATTTCAAGTTCCGTCTACAATATTTTTAGAGTCTCGATAGGGATCTAGAGAATCGATTTTAAATCTAGAATTTTAGTTTAAAAAAAAAAGAAAAAAAAGGGCTTTTCTTTTTACTCCGTAAGAAGTTTACAACATAAGAAAATAGTTCTTGATGATGTAACAAACACTTCAGGGTGGCCTTCTACAACGGGATTCCCGGAGTCCAAACACCTGTGTCAAGAAGGCTTCCAAGACTCTTGAGACGCCACTTCGTCGCTTGCAAGTATGAAAGAGAAGCGCAATACGGAAATCCATCTTCGAAGAAGAGTCCAAGGGTTTTTTGCCAGATTAATTTGAAAAAGGCAAGTTCTTTTTTTTTGATACAAAAAATTTTTTTTCAATCTGGCAATTGTAGAAAAATTATTTCTATCTCAAAATTCTCTATCGACTTATTTTTAGTAGCTAACGACAAAATATTTGAAATTGTTTTTTTTTCTTTTTAAAAAAAAAAAAATTTTTTTTTAAATAAAAGTGGACGAGTCTTGAAATTTATTTTGGGACGATTTGTTCACTTCGACTGATGGACGTAATAATATTATATGTATAGGCGGGATTTCTATAGAGAAATCTTAAGCACAATTTTGTTAGTTAGGGTAACTGTGATATATAAAAAAAAAAAAAAAATTGAAACAAACAAATAAAAAAAGACGATTTTTTTTCTACACGCACATCACTCGCGTTCTAAAAGTAAATTTTGAGACCGTGTTAAATTTTTTTTTTTTTTTTTTTGAACACTTGACATATTTACACACATACACATATGACAAAAGACACAAAAAAAATACGGGGTTTCGTGCAATGTTTGCGGTGGTAGGGGAAACTTACAAACAAAAAAAAAGCGTCACGTCCACTAGTGAAAAAAAAAACTCTTTTTACGAAATTGACGAGGAAAGCGTTCAGTAGAAACGAAAACATAACCTCAAATTTCTATATTTAAAAGAAAAAACGTGAAAAAATTGAAAGCAAATTTTGAGGTTATGTTTTTCTTTCTAAATTTGGCTATTTTTATAACTAAATTCAGTTTTTTAAGTAGCGTATGTACAAGTAAAAGAGCCCCACGCTTTTCTCTATTTTTAAATGATATAATAAAAATATCAAAAAAATATTTATACAATTAAATTGTAAAAAAAAATATATCACTAATTACTTCTTTTTTCTTCCAAAAATTTTTTTCTAAAAATTTTGAGGTTATGTCAAGAAATTTCGTAACATATACAAATCAAAGAGTTTTTTTTCCACTTATTAGCGGGTCGTTGAACGCTAATTAGAATATTTTAAGTTATAATTCAATTTAGAAACAAAAAAAAAGCTTCAGGTGCTTTGGAATAGAGTTTTTTTTTTGGTGCTTTTTTTTCTCACGAAGCTGAAATATAAAATGAATTTTTTTTTTTTGTAAATAATACACTAATTTTTAAGTCGCGTAAACAAAAATATGCACTGGATATAGAAAAAAAGTGGAAAACAATTATTATTGTTCGCCAAGAATTTTTTTAAAATAGACAAATTTCCAGTGTCGATTTTTCTTTTCTTGTAAATAAATTTAGAATTTAATATTTCGGCTTGAACGCGGGTCCCAACAATTTTTTTTTTTTTTTTTTTTTTTTTTTAGTCTATAACTATTTGTACCTTGGATGTTAAACAATTAAGAGAGAAAAATGAAAGAAAAAAATAATGTATAGAAGAGAGTGAGAATTGTTTGTACGTCCCTGTCTCAGCAATACTCAAGCAAAGAACAATAAAAAAAAATAAAATAAAATAAATAATAAAGCAGAATAAAAGAATAGAATTTTTGAAGGATAAAATATTTTCATCACCTAAGCCAATCGTATCTCGTTATTATTTAATTTACGTCCAGTATTGTCTGATATATATGTAACTATTATTATTATTAATATTAATATTGTTATCGTAATAATTTTGATTAATTATTATTTTTATTATTATTATTATTATATTATTATTATTATTATTATTATTATTATTATTACTATTATTGCTCCTCTCATTTTAAAAAAAAAGTATCGCTGCTCTTTATTATTATTATTATTATTATTATTATTATTATTATATCATCACGACATTCCAACTCTATTGATACCGTTTATATATTATGTATTTAAGAATAGTAAACAAAAATTAATGGTTATTATTATTAATTATTATCATATTATTATTATTATTATAATTATTATTATATATTATGGATATTATTGAGAAAAAAAAATACAAAATATTTATCAACGTTAATTTTTAACAGATGCGCTTCCTGTCGACAATTTTATTTTATTTTTGCTGAGAGATGATGAATGAATGTTATATACATATATATATTTTTTTTTGATAAAGTAAAAAAAAAATTTGTACCTAAATTTTTTAAATGATGAATGTGAGAAAAATGCGATTAACAAAAGAACGACTGTTTCATCATTATTTTCTTCTTCTTCTTCATATTTTTTTTTTTTTGTAATATATTTTAACTCGAAAATTCGAGCCACATTATTTTTAGTTTCTAGACTCGTTTAAAAAAAAAACGGTAAATCGTGGTTTTTCACACTTCTCTGTGCATGTAGAAATTTGAAGAGATAATAAAAATTATGTTACAATGAAAAATAACGTGTTTTCCTTCATTTGTGTCTTTTCTTTTTGCTTCCTCGTCGAGGAAGTCCTTTGTAGTCCTTTCGTTTATAAAAATTTTCAAAGTGTCGGAAATAAATTTTTTTCTATATAGAAACATGTTATATAAGATCCTGATCAATTGTCCGGATGTATGTGTGTGTATGTGTGAGGATCCCTTTTTTGTTTAAAAGTTAACTTTAACAGGTTTTGAAAATTACGAAATTGAAGAATTCGACTTTATCAGCAAAGTGATCTATTTTATTCGATTTTTTTTAGAAAGAACGTGTCTAACAAAAAAATTTACTTGTACTACTGCTGAGTAAAACTACTGAGTGATACTACTAAGAAAATTTCGAACTTTTAGAAAGTCTGGCTAAATATTTATTTGAACCACTGAAAAAATTTAGAAGTGGTTTAAAAGTATGACTCAAGGTCAAAGTCAAGACAAGGTCATTTGAAGGTCATTTGAAGGTCAAGTCAAGGTCGTTTGAAGGTTAAGTCAAGGTCATTCAAGGTCGTTTGAAAGTCAAATCAAGAATGTCTGACTAAATATTTACTTGTATTACTAACAAAATTGCAAACCCGTCCAACTAAATCTTTACTTGAACTACTGCTGAGTAATACTACTGAGTGATACTACTAAGTAATACTACTGAGTAATACTACTGTGAAAATTTCAAACATTTATAATGCCTGCTTAAATATTTATTTAAACCACTGAAAAAATTTAGAAGTGGTTTAAAAGTGTGACTCAAGGTCAAGGTCAAGTCAAGGTCAAGTCAAGGTCGTTCAAGGTCATTTGAAGGTCAAGCCAAGGTCATTCAAGGTCATTCATGGTCATTTGAAGGTCAAGTCAAGGTCGTTCAAGGTCGTTTGAAGGTCAAATCAAGAACGTCTGACTAAACATTTACTTGTATTACTAATAAAATTGCAAACCCGTCCAACTAAATATTAACTTGTACTATTGACAATATTGTACTACTACTTGTACTACTGCTGAGTAATACTACTGAGTGATACTACTGAGAAAATTTCAAACATTTAGAATGTCTGGCTAAATATTTATTTAAACCACTGAAAAAATTTAGAAGGGTTTTAAAAGTATGACTCAAGGTCAAGTCAAGGTCATTTGAAGGTCAAGTCAAGGTCGTTCAAGGTCGTTTGAAGGTTAAGTCAAGGTTATCCAAAGTCATTCAAGGTCGTTTGAAAGTCAAATCAAGAATGTCTGACTAAATATTTGCTTGTATTACTAACAAAATTGCAAACCCGTCCAACTCAATTTTTACTTGTACTACTGCTGAGTAAAACTACTGAGTGATACTACTGAGAAAATTTCAAACATTTAGAATGTCTGGTTAAATATTTATTTAAACCACTGAAAAAATTTAGAAGTGGTTTAAAAGTGTGACTGTAGGCCAAGGTCAAGTGAAGGTCGTTCAAGGTCATTTGAAGGTCAAGTCAAGGTCATTGAAGGTCGTTTGAAGGTCAAGTCAAGGTCATTCAAGGTCGTTTGAAGGTCAAATCAGGAATGTCTGACTAAATATTTACTTGTATTACTAACAAAATTGCAAATCCGACTAATTAAATATTTACTTGTACTACTACTTGTACTGTGGATAGAATGTTTTCCTAGAAAACTACTTGTACCGTGGATAGAATGTTTTCCTGGAAAATGAAAAAATCCCTTCCATAGTCAAATAAAATAAAACATCATGTCTCTATTATTTTTTTAACCTTCAAACAAAACATATTTATTTAATAATTTAAGTTTATAGATGAAATAATTGTATTCCTTACATAAAAACAAATTGATTGGTATATATAAAATTTACATTTGATGTAAATTTAATAAATTAAATAAATTTAAAAATAGAAAATACACTCTTTAGCTGAAAAATTGTTTATTTATTTAAATTCAAATTTAAATATAAAATAATTGTGTTCCTTGCATTAAAACGAATCGATATAATTTGTAAATAATTATAAATTATATATTATTTTTCATTAATATTTAGAAATTTCGGTTAAAATATGAATTTTTGATTTTTTAACAAATATCTTACATAAGAAACATTAAAAAAAAATAGTAGAAAATAGATTTTTTTTATATAAAATGAAAAGTAATCGTAATTTTTTTTTTTTTTGCTAATTTCAAAAAAAGATAACGTCGGAAAATTTGTACAATTCTTTTTTTTTCTTCATCAATTCGTTTTAAACAATAATTCCCGGATGTTTCTTATCTGTAACAAAAGTAAATGTGTTTTGAATTTAAAATTTTATAATTTTTGTTAAATTATATTTTTTGTAAATTATTGAAAAAAAAGAAGTTAAGTTTTTTTACATGTTAAGTAATAAAAAAGTAAAATTAAATTTTTAAATTAACTTAAAAAAATTAAATTTTGTTAAATATAATCTTCTTTTGGACTAAATATTCAAATATATATATATATATTTTTTTTTTATTTTACATAAATATTCAATAAATATTATAAAAATGTTTAAATTATTTAAATTGTAAATTCAAATCTGCAGACATTTTGAATATCGCTTTTATGATTTGAATAAACATTTTTTTTATCCTATAAAAATCGGCATTTATTTTTATTTTTGAGAAGAGAAGCGGAAAATTTCGCTAAGAAAAAAGGATTTTTTCCTATTTTTTTGCTAATATATTGAAAATTGTTTAAATTTTTTTTTATAAACACTCCGATCTACTCACTACTAATAACAGAGGTCATTGGTAACTGTCTTGTTTTTGGAGGCACTTGCGGTGGATTTTTACGTCTTCTCGGCGATTTATCGTCGCTATTTAATTGTTGCACCTAAAAAAAAAATTTGTTCCTTGTTTTTTTTTAATTAATTACATATAAACAGGCCTCGGTCAAATTTAGGGCACAAAAAATATCGTTTTAGTCGATTCTAATTCCAAAAAAGTAGAATAAGTAAAATATAAATAATTACCGACACAGAAATCTACCTTACCGACGGATGGTAAAACAGACTTTTTTGAAAAATGAAAATATAAAAAATTACCTACATAGGAATCTACCTTACCGACTAATGGTAAATTTTTTTTGAAAGATGGAAATATAAATAATTACCGACATAGAATTCTTCTTTACCGGCTGATGGTAAAACAGACTTTTTTGAAAAATGAAAACAGAAAATTACCGACATAGGAATCTACCTTAACGACTGATGGTAAAGAAATTTTTTGAAAAATTGACCATCAGTCAGTAATGTAGATCCCTATGTCGGTAATTTTTTATATTTTCATTTTACCAAGAAAGTCTGTTTTACCATTAGTCAGTAAGGTAGATTCCTATATCGGTAAATTTTTATATAATACAACTTTTCTTTTAAATGTAAAGAAATAGTCGTAAAAGTCGCTTTTTATTAAAATAAGTCGAAAAAAGTAGGAAAAAGTCGTATTATCAGAGGCCAACATTTAGTATAGTTTAAAATTATTAATTTTAATAAAATAACTTAATAAATAGATAAAATTATTAGTTTAAAAAAAATATTTCGAATAGCTTTAAAAATAAATAATTGAAATTAGAAAAAAAGACACAAGCCTGATAATCGATAGCGTTAAATTGCCATTTCCAAGTGTGATTATAGAGAAATGGCCGATGATCGAATCTATTGTCATCGGGACTATAAGTTTCCGCATGGCAAGACGGTGTTAAAATTGTCATTTTGTGACGATTTATTGCATAGCATCGATAGAAATGTTTCACTTTATCTGCAATCTAAAAAGAAAAATTTTAATATTCGATTTAAAATATTATTTACAATACTTTCCTTTTATTAATTTTTGTTTTTTTTTAAAAAAATAATTATCACCTCTTTTGGTGGTGAATTATCCCAAGTGTGAACCAATTTACAAAACATTGAGAATGGACCAGCGCAATTTTGCTTTCTGAGTCTACCAAATATTCCCAATTCAACATAAGTCATTCCCATGTCAACTTCATCTAATTGCGCATAATGACCATCTTGTAATGGTTCCAATTCCGCCGTTGGCTGCGCATCAAGTATTCCTGTTAGACTTTTTATTCCATGCTTTTTTCTACCGAAAAAAAAAGAATTAAATTATTATTTTTAAAACTACGAAATTGATAACTTAAAAAAAATCACATTTTTAATCAAAAAGGAAAACAAAAATATAGAAATATTCTCAATTGTTTTAATTAATATTTGATTTGCATTTTTTTTTATACCCAAAAAATTGGAGAAATTTCTTCAAATCATTTTTTGCAATTCCACCAATTGGATTAATGTCAGCGCTACTGCAATCGTATTTTGTGAAATATCCCCTCAATGCTTCGTCAACATTACTTGTTCCTAAAACAAGAAGACCACCGGGTCTTCCACGAACCCAAAGCATTAATTGAGCAAAAAGATAGGCGATCACCATTCGCAGTCTTGCCTGAAAGTTTTTCAATCTCAAATTTTACTTATTTAGAGAAAATATAATTTAATTTTTGCATTTTATTTTTTGAAAAATACAAAAATATTAAAGAAATTCAAATTTAGAAATATCCGAAATAATTAGAAAAGAAAAAAATACCTGGTAAAATGAAAATATAAAAATTACCGACATAGAGATATACTTTACCGGCTGATGGTAAAACAGACTTCTTTGAAAAATGAGAACAGAAAAATACCGACATAGGAATCTACCTTAACGACTGATGGTAAAGAAATTTTTTGAAAAATTCACCATCAGTCGGTAAGGTAGATTCCTATGTCGGTAATTTTTTATTTTACCAAGAAAGTAGGTTTTACCATTAGTCGGTAAGGTAGAATTCTGTGTCGGTAATTTTTTAAATTTCTATTTTTCAAAAAATTCTTTACCATCCGTCGGTAAGGTAGATTCCTATGTCGGAAATTTTTTAATATAATACAACTTTTTGCATCCTCGTGGAGGAAGCTTTGTAGTCCTTTCGTTAATAAAACTTTTCAAAGTGTCGAAAACAAATTTTTTTCTTTATAGAAACATGTTATATGAGGTCCTGATCAATTGTCCGGATGTATGTATGTGTGTGTGTGTGTGGATCCCCTTTTTGTTTAGAAGATAACTTCAACAGGTTTTAATGGATTTAGATAAAATTTAGTAGGCTCATTTATAATATATAAAGTATTCATATGAGGTAAATTTAAAGAATTAATGAAAGTTAGAAAAACTACAATTCACATTTTGGTTATAAAGTTTTGTGATTTTTTAAATTGAAGTTTATATATAAAATAATTGTATTCCTTACGTCAAGACGAATCGATCGATATATATAAAGTACACATTCGAGGTAAATTTAAAGAATTAATAAAAGTTAAAAAATCCAAAATTCACATTTTGTCAATAAAATTTTGCTTTCTCCACGAGGAAGAAAATTTTTTTGCTGATCGTAAAGAGGAAGGAAAATGTTCATGTAATGAACATCTGAATTTACAACTTTTTGTAAGTTTTTTATGCTTTTGGATCGGTTTTTGGTGGTAAAAAGGGTCTTCCTCTACTCGGAATTGGGTGTCAATTTTTTCTACACTTTTCGGTGTATTTTGCGCAAGAATATGCAATAAAATCTTCTGCCTAAGAAAAATTGAATTTTTTTCGAAAGATTTTTATGCTTTTGGAAGAGTTTTTGGTCATAAAAAGTGTCTTCCTCTACTCGGATCTGGGTGTCAATTTTTTTCTACACTTTTCGGTGTATTTTGTGCAAGAATATGCAATAAAATCTTGTGCCTAAGAAAAATTGAATTTTTTTGGTTACATTTTTATGCTTTTGGATGCGTTTTTGGTCATAAAAAGGGTCTTCCTCTACTCGGATCTGGGTGTCAATTTTTTTCTACACTTTTCGGTGTATTTTGTGCAAGAATATGCAATAAAATCTTCTGCCTAAGAAAAATTGAATTTTTTTCGAAAGATTTTTATGCTTTTGGATGCGTTTTTGGTCATAAAAAGGGTCTTCCTCTACTCGGATCTGGGTGTCAATTTTTTTCTACACTTTTCGGTGTATTTTGTGCAAGAATATGCAATAAAATCTTCTGCCTAAGAAAAATTGAATTTTTTTGGTTACATTTTTATGCTTTTGGATGCGTTTTTGGTCATAAAAAGAGTCTTCCTCTACTCGGATCTGGGTGTCAATTTTTTTCTACACTTTTCGGTGTATTTTGTGCAAGAATATGCAATAAAATCTTGTGCCTAAGAAAAATTGAATTTTTTTGGTTACATTTTTATGCTTTTGGATGCGTTTTTGGTCATAAAAAGGGTCTTCCTCTACTCGGATCTGGGTGTCAATTTTTTTCTACACTTTTCGGTGTATTTTGTGCAAGAATATGCAATAAAATTGTCTGCCTAAGAAAAATTGAATTTTTTTGAAAATTTTTTTTTGACGGAAATCGCTTCAATGGTCATAAAAATGGTGTTCCTCTACTCGGATCTGGGTGTCAATTTTTTTCTACACTTTTCGGTGTATTTTGTGCAAGAATATGCAATAAAATTGTCTGCCTAAGAAAAATTGAATTTTTTTCGAAAGATTTTTATGCTTTTGGATGCGTTTTTGGTCATAAAAAGGGTCTTCCTCTACTCGGATCTGGGTGTCAATTTTTTTCTACACTTTTCGGTGTATTTTGTGCAAGAATATGCAATAAAATTGTCTGCCTAAGAAAAATTGAATTTTTTTCGAAAGATTTTTATGCTTTTGGATGCGTTTTTGGTCATAAAAAGGGTCTTCCTCTACTCGGATCTGGGTGTCAATTTTTTTCTACACTTTTCGGTGTATTTTGTGCAAGAATATGCAATAAAATCTTCTGCCTAAGAAAAATTGAATTTTTTTGGTTACATTTTTATGCTTTTGGATGCGTTTTTGGTCATAAAAAGGGTCTTCCTCTACTCGGATCGGGCTGGCAATTTTTTTCTACACTTTTAGGTGTATTTTGTGCAAGAAAATGCAATAAAATAGTCTGCCTAAGACAAATTGAATATTTTTGAAAATTTTTTTTTTACGAAAATCGCTTAAATGGTCATAAAATTGGTGTTCCTCTACTCGGATCGGGCTGGCAATTTTTTTCTACACTTTTCGGTGTATTTTGTGCAAGAATATGCAATAAAATCTTCAGCCTAAGAAAAATTGAATTATTTTCGAAAGATTTTTATGCTTTTGGATGCGTTTTTGGTCATAAAAAGGGTCTTCCTCTACTCGGATCTGGGTGTCAATTTTTTTCTACACTTTTCGGTGTATTTTGTGCAAGAATATGCAATAAAATCTTCAGCCTAAGAAAAATTGAATTATTTTCGAAAGATTTTTATGCTTTTGGATGCGTTTTTGGTCATAAAAATGGTGTTCCTCTACTCGGATCTGAGTGTCAATTTTTTTCTACACTTTTCGGTGTATTTTGTGCAAGAATATGCAATAAAATCTTCTGCCTAAGAAAAATTGAATTTTTTTCGAAAGATTTTTATGCTTTTGGATGCGTTTTTGGTCATAAAAAGGGTCTTCCTCTACTCGGATCTGGGTGTCAATTTTTTTCTACACTTTTCGGTGTATTTTGTGCAAGAATATGCAATAAAATCTTCTGCCTAAGAAAAATTGAATTTTTTTGGTTACATTTTTATGCTTTTGGATGCGTTTTTGGTCATAAAAAGAGTCTTCCTCTACTCGGATCTGGGTGTCAATTTTTTTCTACACTTTTCGGTGTATTTTGTGCAAGAATATGCAATAAAATCTTGTGCCTAAGAAAAATTGAATTTTTTTGGTTACATTTTTATGCTTTTGGATGCGTTTTTGGTCATAAAAAGGGTCTTCCTCTACTCGGATCTGGGTGTCAATTTTTTTCTACACTTTTCGGTGTATTTTGTGCAAGAATATGCAATAAAATTGTCTGCCTAAGAAAAATTGAATTTTTTTGAAAATTTTTTTTTGACGGAAATCGCTTCAATGGTCATAAAAATGGTGTTCCTCTACTCGGATCTGGGTGTCAATTTTTTTCTACACTTTTCGGTGTATTTTGTGCAAGAATATGCAATAAAATTGTCTGCCTAAGAAAAATTGAATTTTTTTCGAAAGATTTTTATGCTTTTGGATGCGTTTTTGGTCATAAAAAGGGTCTTCCTCTACTCGGATCTGGGTGTCAATTTTTTTCTACACTTTTCGGTGTATTTTGTGCAAGAATATGCAATAAAATTGTCTGCCTAAGAAAAATTGAATTTTTTTCGAAAGATTTTTATGCTTTTGGATGCGTTTTTGGTCATAAAAAGGGTCTTCCTCTACTCGGATCTGGGTGTCAATTTTTTTCTACACTTTTCGGTGTATTTTGTGCAAGAATATGCAATAAAATCTTCTGCCTAAGAAAAATTGAATTTTTTTGGTTACATTTTTATGCTTTTGGATGCGTTTTTGGTCATAAAAAGGGTCTTCCTCTACTCGGATCGGGCTGGCAATTTTTTTCTACACTTTTAGGTGTATTTTGTGCAAGAAAATGCAATAAAATAGTCTGCCTAAGACAAATTGAATATTTTTGAAAATTTTTTTTTTACGAAAATCGCTTAAATGGTCATAAAATTGGTGTTCCTCTACTCGGATCGGGCTGGCAATTTTTTTCTACACTTTTCGGTGTATTTTGTGCAAGAATATGCAATAAAATCTTCAGCCTAAGAAAAATTGAATTATTTTCGAAAGATTTTTATGCTTTTGGATGCGTTTTTGGTCATAAAAAGGGTCTTCCTCTACTCGGATCTGGGTGTCAATTTTTTTCTACACTTTTCGGTGTATTTTGTGCAAGAATATGCAATAAAATCTTCAGCCTAAGAAAAATTGAATTATTTTCGAAAGATTTTTATGCTTTTGGATGCGTTTTTGGTCATAAAAATGGTGTTCCTCTACTCGGATCTGAGTGTCAATTTTTTTCTACACTTTTCGGTGTATTTTGTGCAAGAATATGCAATAAAATCTTCTGCCTAAGAAAAATTGAATTTTTTTGGTTACATTTTTATGCTTTTGGATGCGTTTTTGGTCATAAAAAGGGTCTTCCTCTACTCGGATCTGGGTGTCAATTTTTTTCTACACTTTTCGGTGTATTTTGTGCAAGAATATGCAATAAAATCTTCTGCCTAAGAAAAATTGAATTTTTTTCGAAAGATTTTTATGCTTTTGGATGCGTTTTTGGTCATAAAAAGGGTCTTCCTCTACTCGGATCTGGGTGTCAATTTTTTTCTACACTTTTCGGTGTATTTTGTTCAAGAATATGCAATAAAATCTTCTGCCTAAGAAAAATTGAATTTTTTTGGTTACATTTTTATGCTTTTGGATGCGTTTTTGGTCATAAAAAGGGTCTTCCTCTACTCGGATCTGGATGTCAATTTTTTTCTACACTTTTCGGTGTATTTTGTGCAAGAATATGCAATAAAATCTTCTGCCTAAGAAAAATTGAATT